TTTCTGTCAATTGTAAGCTCATTAAGATGTTTAATCTAATTAAGTCCCTATATTAAACAACTAAATAAGTACGTACATTATAGAAAACAAATCGTTTAAACATTGTTCTTGGTATTATATTGTATCTTTTAAAATACATTTAAAAACTGGAAACTTAGTGCGTTTGCAGTGAAGACATTCCTTACTTGTTCACATCTTGAATGATTTTGTTGCATTGCAACTTTTCTTTTTCTCATTAAAAAGCATAGTTGTTTAATAGATTCAATTTCGTAAAGGCATCTGTAGAAATTTTAATTAATTATTATAGTCTATAATGTTAACAGCTAAATTTTCACGACTTAATAATATTGTATGTTTTGGATGCCAAGTGGAAAATATAACATTTGATACCGATAACTCGATATGAGTAAAGTTTAAATATGTGTATTCTAACAACACAAATATATCCAGATTATCATCGAGTTACCATTATTGTGAACAATGGCATTTGAAGTTTTCAAACATACGTTTATTTTTTATGCAAACTAACTAAATAAATAGCTGAACAGAAATTCCACACACACGCGCTCTCGTCCTTTTACATTGTATACTGTATATTACACTATTCACCATCATAATAGTATAATGTTATCAAAGTTTGACGAATAGATAAATTTTATGTTTTTCTAATAATAACAAAAGTGAAAATAGATTTTTATCTTCTCTAAGTGTATTCTATAGACAAATCTTTGTCATCCGTAGGCCTCGTATAGTCGTAATTCCAATATTGCGGTACTCATGAGATTTTTGTTTCATTTTATATAGAATATATGTTTAAAACGTTTGTTAACAACTTTTATAATTTCTTAGGTACTCTTAATACGCACGTAATATTAATGTGCACTAATACTTGCATAATGCGCGTGTATACCTATCAAGTTATTCAGTCTCACTGTCTAGCCAATAATATGACTGTAATTATGGCTAATGTTATCAGTATATTCATTGATACAAAGGCAACATAAATATATAATAACGTATATCATCCGGCGGTTAGTTAGATGAAATCTTTTTGTTATTTAAGCGCGTAACCTTTTATAATAAATAGTCGCTAATGATCGACACGAATACAAACCACTGTGTGTAAGGAAACATAGTGCATTGTTATTATTTTTTATTAATTCATTCATTTTTTATTATTTTTATTTTACTTTTATTTTTTAGTAAGTGTATTTAGGTATATAATGATAGCCAAACTGTATAAAACATACTTAAATATGTCTGTATTGCTGGACAATAGACTCTGTACTCACCACTCGCCTTGTTTCGATTGATGTCCATTGATAAAACTTTATATATATGTGTGTCAACGCTTACATATAATTATTGTTCTTGTTATGTACAGGCCTGTAATATATACCATATCTATATATGATGTGTATCGTTATAAAATACTATTAAGGTGTGCTGTCGTTTATATTTTCAACTATATTTTATTTTTAGATCAGTTATTTTAATAAATCGTAATTCTTTTCGTGTAAACTCAATAATATAAATAATGTATTAATACTATATAATATCTATAATGAAAAGTTACACTCAAATAATTTAAAATTTGGATTTAATGTTTTCTTTCTTTAAATAGTTTTGTACTTATATTGTCCTAATTTAAACTAATTAATTAATAAAACTTTATTTCATTTTAAAAATTATAATATTTTCAACCTAAGTCTACCTTGACGGTACTTAACAATTAATACAATTTATTTTAAAATTATTAATATGTATTTTATTTAAAATATATTAGTCTAAATGTATAATATGTTGTGCATTTAAAATTAAAATACACTGACTTAGATGGCTTGAATATTTTTAAGTAGATACTTGAATTACTTTTATCAGTGTAATAATTTGAAAGTTATGTTTGGTAAACGCAAATGAAAATATCATTAAAATGTAACTTACTTAAATACAAAATAATTTATGTAATACTTATAATTGTATACAAAAATAATACATAATAAGAATTTAGTAAGTATACATTATGATGTAACTAACTTTTAATAAGTATTGAAATTTAAAAGATTCAATTTTTGTTTTAAACATTTCGTTTGATGTAGTGTAGACATTTCAACCTTAACTTACTATTAAACTGCAAATTGTATTATTTATTTATGTACAAACAACATATCAGTTGTTAGAGAATTTATATGAATGTCGTTGACCTCAAACTGTTTAATAGCATCGACTATAAATTCCAGTTTTTTTTTACTCATGTGCGTTTAAGATATTTTTCTTTAAAAAGAAATAAATTTCACTTATAAGGTATTGTTAATCATTTAACTAAGATTGGTGTATAAGAAACTTACTACTAGTTTGGCTTTTAAGTATATCTGCAAATTTTTCACGCATGTAGATTTACAGTACTTAAATGTATTGAAATTTTGTTTCCGGAGAAATCTTTATTTATTAGTTTATATATATATATATAATTTGGTATTGTTAACTATTTTGACATTTAGTTACCAGTTTCGTGATGTCTTTGAAAAGAATTGTATTACAGTATCTTATCTTAAATGATATATGGGTAGCAATTCATAAATGATTAATTAACCTACGTATACTTTGAAACTTATGAGGATAATCTTTGTAATAATTTACGGAATTTAAATTTTTAAAAAAACTATTATTACTTATTTAAATCACTATGCAGCCATTTATTATTTTCTTTTTGCCATAATCTATAGCCTAAATATAAAGTACCTAATGTTATGTGGATTGTAATTATATACAAACTAAAAACTTCTTATTAGATTAAATACCTTTACAGCTTTGCGTTAAAAATTATTAAAAACCAGGCAAATAATAAACAAGCAGGATCTATAAATCAAGCTATAGCAATAAAGGTTCTCATTTTTTTTAAATCCCTTCACTGAAAAATACTTAAAACTTCAACTATATATACCCATGACCCACAAACGGCATTATAATTAAATTGATTGTTATATCATGTCTTTATTTTAACTGACATTATCCGTTTACATAGTTATCTGTAGTTGCTGCTAAAATATAATTGCGTATTAAAGAAAAATATTGTTAATCTAATTTCTTATTTTTTTTTTTTTTTTTTTTTTTTTATTTAATTTAAATACATCTAAATTCTACATAATTTATTGTACAATAATTAGATTTGATAAAAAAAAAGAAGAGAATATAAAATTGACGGCGAATATTAAGGTTGGGAAGTTATCCATTGATAACACCCAGCACGTGCGTTAGTTATTGACTAAGATTATTAATGTAAAAGATCCCTTCACAAATTTCTTTAGTCTAATTTCTATAAATGTATGTATGATTAGCGACAAAGGTGTTACATAATCATCATTACTGAAAAAAAAAATCTTTTATGAAAATCCGATTCGTCTTTTACTTAGAAATAATAATTACATTTATAATACACATCGCTTGATACATGTGTGTGTGTGTATTGCAAAGGACTTGTCGGTAAAAATTAGAAAAACACGTAAACATTTCTTCGCGTTATTCAAAATATTTATAATGTATATTATGTATATTTAATATACCTTGCGGTGTATTTAAATTGATGATGATAGGATGGCTTAGTGCGTGTTCAGTTGTGTGCAAGTGAGAGAATGGTGATGCAATGTGCAATGGCGTTTTTATTTAGTAGACGGCAAAAATAGAATATCGTAAAATTCAGCTCTTTACGTATGAACCTTAAACTGACTGTCTATCCCCCTTCCTCTCCTACGCAGTTTGATGCAAGTTTAGTCCATTCCAAGGCCAATTTATGCAATTCACTGCCAAATTCAATAATTATGTGTCGTACTTTGTATAGGTACATTATTAAGTCTTAAGCGATTTAGAAACATAAGTAGTCGGGTTACGCTTCGTTGTTCTATTGTTTCCGAGTTCCGAAAGATCTATTTTTTTTTATCGCATCATTTGAGTTTAGAAAACATAGAAGTGTTGTGTGTATAGTAGCATAAAATAAAGTTATGCGATTTTATTTCATTGTATTCGACGTAATTTTGTGATATGCTTATAGATTTAATAGATTATAATATATAATATAAGACAGACTAGGTAGGAGCTGATGTTTATGATTATAAATTCACGTTGGTTAAATCTCCTTGTGTAAACTTCTTTAATTCTTTCAATACTTCTGTGGACATATCATAGTTGTTATCCCTTTCGTGTAAGGAAATTCCTGATAAATTTTAAAAATGATCGTCCCCTGTCCCCGTGAGACTTATTAATTAATTTTTACTTAAAGTATTTGTAATCAATAATTTATGAACATTTTATTTAAGTTGTAAATTATAACAAGATTAAAACGTATAACTACGCTTGATTAGTCTTCAAAAAGAGTATGAAAGCAATAGTCTTGTTATATTTTTTTATGACATGGTACTTACTAAAATCCTTCTCGAAGCTTTATAAAAACCTTAACTAGCTCTTTTTGCCCCAAAATATTTCCAATTTTTATGGAAAAAACTTACTTTAACTTTAAAATTAATATAATTATCATTTCGCTCGAAGACTGAAAAGGCGTATACTGTTGCTACTTTTTACATTCCACCAAAATGTAATTTTAAATGATTCGTATTGACCATACAATTACTCAATCCTAAAAAAATGTTATAATATAATTTAAGAGATAACTATGTATATTGTATGTATTATGATCTAGCTTAGCGATTAAATTTTGAAAACAGATTTGAAATTTCTATTAAGTATACTTAGAACTACTTTCACACATTTTTAATTTTTAATTTATACTTTTTAAATATAACTTAATAAGATTTAAAGAGATAAAATAAAAATGTATTGTTGACTTAATTGAAAAATTTAAATCTTTTTTTCAAAATACTATATAAATGCTTCACTGGGTACTTTAGAAACAGAATGCTACCAATACCCTTAAAATTAGAATTAAAAACAAATATTATGTAATTAATTCGTAGATTAACTACAAATAATATTTTTTTAATTTTCAGTTCCAGCCGACAAAGTCGAAATCTGGCTGAAAAACTCAGACGAGAGAAGTTAAATAATTGTATCACAGAACTTTCAAAACTTGTTCCACTGATATCAAATTCTTCTAAAAAAATTGAAAAAACTAGTGTTCTAAGACTCAGTGCTGCGTATCTTCGGCTGAATCAATGTAAGTCTACCGTTTGAATAATGTGTATCCTGTCAATTGAAAATTTAATTGTTATCATATGTTTTATTATTTATTGCAATTAAATGTTTTCTAGTCTTAGTAGGAATAAAAGAACAACGTAAAGAATTACCAGATTACATAAAGGAGGTTAATGTGGCTGATCTTCTGTTAGATGTATGTATCCTTGCTTATATAATTTTCTTAAGGTATCATAATTAGTTATGAGAGTATGTTGCTTTTTTTTAAATCGTTATACCTTTTATAAACAACCAAGTCAGTCGCTCACTCATTCACTCTATTGGAGATATCAGTTTATATAGGCCAGGATGTCGCTGTTAACATAAACTAAATATACTTAGTTAGTAGCTAATATAATATATATAATATATTTTATAATTTTTATATTCTATTTATAGACTAGGTTGTTAACAAATTAAACGTGACACATAAAACCCATATCTAATACACGAAAATCATATTAACATCTAAGTAAATAACGTACTGTAAATTTTATTTTAATCACTTTTTCATTAGAAAAATTATTTATAATTTTAACAATTTAGGATTATAATTTATAACTATTTAAGTTATTGTTAGCTAAGGCATATTTTGTCTTATAAACTATTCGTTATTATTTATTACTTATTACCTATACTTTTAATATATTTATGTTAAAGACTTGCCGAAAGAGCAAAATAAACACTTAAGTTACCTTTTCGGTGCTACTTTATTTTATAAGTTTAATATTTACTTATTATTTAAAGATTTTCATTATGTGCATGCTGTGCCAAAAGTCTGTTCACTAAAAACTTGACATAATGTTCTTATATAATATGTTAAACCAAAAAGTGAGCCTTATAAAATAAATGTTAAAATACTACGCAGATCTTTATGTACAATTTTACATAATATCAACAGTTATTTCTAATAATTATAAAAAATAATATGGCAATACTTTTTTCTAATTATTACTTAATACCTATTACAAATCACTAAAGTTATTTTTGATACTGTTTTAAAACTCGTGTTGAACTACCTATAGTCCATAGTACTCTATACATTATATAATAAAATTAAATTTTCTTCGTAGCCAATATTAATATTATTATAATTTTTTTTTTTCCTTAGGATAATGATATATATCTTATGGTCACGTCGAGTGGAAAAATAGTGTTCGTTTCTCACTCCGTGGAAAATATATTAGGCTATTCTCAGGTAAGTTTTTTTTCCGTAAACCATAAAACAGAGTTACATTTTAAAAATGACTTATTATAATTTATAACTTTATAAGTATTAAGTTAATTGCATTTTATTTTTTATAAATATGTTTATTGTATTTATTATATTATTATATGTACATAAATCTTTTTTTTTGAATAGTTATCTGGTTTACTCGTCTCATACACAGTGCTTAAATAAAACTGTCTATACCGCATTAATTTAAATAATAATTTAAATCAATTGGTTGTAATTATTAATTAACTTAAAAATTAAGTCAATGACGAAAGCAAATCATTTTTGTATTCATTAGTGTTTGCGTTGACAAATAGTGTTCAAGTTGGAAATGTATGCTCTATAAATATTTGAAATGTTCTAGTTAAAACATCTAATACTCTTAAATAATACATTAAAAAGCAATAACATGCTTATTATTATTAAATTGCACCAATCGGTAATCATTTTACCTTGAGTGTTTGTTTTTACTTAGTTAAAACACTTGTAAGAGTCCAGAGTCAGTAAAAATAAAATGATTTTATACAGAATATTTCTTATTATTTACATTTTAAAATGATTGTATTATTGTTTCTGCACTACGTAGTTACATGGTATAATACACCTTTATTTATGTAGTCGCAACAGTATTACGGTATTTATTGTATTTTTTCGAAACATCGCCGTCGTAATATTATGTTGTTTGAAAATAATTATGCAGGCCTCAAGTTTTACTTTTGCACTATAAGTTGCAAATCATTATTTATTTTTATCGTTTTATACAGCAACTGTTGTATAAATCACTTACGATATAAATGTAATTGTATATTTATTCACAACAACACAAACATATTTACGCATGTTCGTAATTAAAATATAATTATTGTATACTAACCTTGTGTGTAGATATTTATTTGTATTTAAATTTGCTTAACTGTATTTTGGATTATGAGAAATTCCGTCATTTTTTAATGTGTTATTGAAAATGCGAATAATATTATTTGTATAACAGATGCACAATTATATAGCAGTTTAAAATATTTTACACTTACTGCAACGTATAACAAATTTTAGAAAACTAATAAAAGTATTATGACAAAAGTAATTACCAATATATACAACCAATATAGGTTATGCTGTATAGCAGTGCTTTATCCTCTTTTTATTCTCATCGAAGTTAATAGAATCAAGGGAAAAATGTAATGGCTCATTTCGGTCTTAAGCCATTATGTTGTTATATTAAATTAATTAAATTATCCACATACGTGATGTAAGACGGATGTGGTTTTCATCTGCAGTCTTTTCAGATCGTTCCCACATTGTTTTGCAGAAAACGCATACCGCATACATAATAATAATATTATTGTTTTTGTCGTAATGCATTTTTATCATCCGTTGCCATTTTATTAGACATGCGCCGTGTTCGAATTTAGAGAGGCAACCGTTTTATCCCTTCACCATCACCCCTACGGTATGTCATCAGTCCCGAGTATGTCCGCCTTTTGCGCAGTACGCAGTCGCATCAGACTAAGTTTATTTTTATTTTTCTGTCTCTTTCTCTGTCTCTCTCTCTCTCACACACACACACATACACACACATATTTAATCGCACTCGAAACTAAAGTGCGTTGTGTGTTCTAACTGTGCATTGTGTCTGCCGTTATTACAAAAGTTTACCTAATTAATAATAACACTTAATAGTTGTTTTATATTAATAATAAATATCATTATCAATATTGATTACACAATGGTGTGGTTTGTGATTAATTTTATTATTATTATCAATCCGCTTAAAACTCTTCCCAATCATTTACCGGATATATTTTAACTTACAACATGCATTATTATAATATTTTTGCACCAGCATCGGCTGCGTGTCATTGTTATTTAATTATTCAACGGTAGAATAAATTATTTTGATTTTAATAAAAACGTTTTCTTTTACCTTGATTTCATATTGTGGACGCGATGCATATAACACTATTGATTTCCCCTCTCATCCACCTCAACCCACGCAACCGTCATATGCACTGGCCAAGGACACCGTTCTTATATTATTATTATTATCGTTGCCTGAACGATAAACACATTTGTATACAACATGGGTTACTCGCACTGCATCCGTTTTATGTTTTAACCTTATTATTATTATTATTTGAATATATATATATATAATGTAATACATATCCTTGAAAATTGCATTCAACCACGAGTATTTAATTACAAGTTTATCACAAAGCCCATCATTGTATTATAACGTTAGTTCGTAAATAAAACCACGGAAAGGGTTTTTAAGTAGAAATTTACCCGGGCTTATTATAATTTTATTGCGACTGCTGCAATTCTGCAATTACTTATAAGTCTCATGCATGCACATTATATCAAGGTCAACCGATCATTATTTCTTCTTTGAATCGTGCTTTGAAATTACAGTAAACACGTATAGTTTTTTTTTTTATTTTAACATAATAGTACGGTTTTTCTTATTATTAGATTTTAATTTATCACGTATATACTAGTGGCTCATTCGTTGTAAACACAAATCTACATATTTTTCATATTATCAAATCGTAGCATATAATATTATTGTACATTTGCAATTTTCGTTTGTGCAAAACCTAAGATATTTAGCTTTCTATTCAATCAATATATTTATATTTATTTAAATCATTATTAATTAAATAATTTATCTGTATGTTGATAGTATTAAGTGCACTCAGACAAACTGAACAAATATTTCCAAATCTTTGAATCTTTGTATTTTTTAATCAAATCTTATTTTAAATCTTACATAATTTGTTATAGTAATTTAAAAATAACCTTTACTACTTTTAAAATAATATTTCCTTCTTATATATAATGTATATTTCTTTATTATCATACGACCTACACTTTCTATTGTATTGTGAAATACTCTTCTGTGATTGAGATATTTAAAATAGTAACCCAACTCGTACTGAACAATAATATTTAACTATGTAATATTATTTTCTGGACCAAATATCTCTAGCTATTAGCTCTTTTCTAGATAAGAATAAATATTAATCAATTTTGTCATCTTAAAACTATGACATAAATTTTGTATTTTATTTTTCACCCAGTTCCTTATTCCCAACAGTCTATGATACCACGGGTTGCAATAAAAAAATAAAATAAATACTTAGCTGAACCGCTTGTTAAGATTGTGTGCCTATTTTCTTCTGTTGTAATCGATTTTATTCTCATTTCACTGTAGATTTGAAACAATATCCGCATGCCAACCGTATCACTTGTTGCATAATCAATACACCAAAGTTTAAAACCAAAGATATTTTCTATAATATTTCACAATTTTCACCATAAATAAAGCTTAAAATATCACAAAGTTTTTGTCATAGCTTAATAGTTGATTCCCAGGCTGTCTCTTTTTTCCTTATTTAGGCAATTGCTTTTTAGGCGCCGACTTAAGTTTTGAATTTTTTTCTATTTAGGTATCTAATAAGCCCGATTGTTCTGCAAATTGCAATCTCATTTTCCTTACTTTTCAATATGCTAAACACTTGAAAAACCAACATAATCTCGTAGTTTGTACTTATAGTATACTCATGATTATGTATAATATATTACACTGACGAAGTTCAACGAAAGAAAATCTGTTCATACTACTTTTACCCTCATCCATCTGTAAGAATCCCACTCACAAAAAAAAAAATACATATAAGTTATTAGGTGGATCTTTTTATATATTACAAAATAACAATTTTGTTCTTTTATGTTTTGTATGCATTTAAATTTATTAGCATTAAAAACTAGTAACAATATTCATTATAATATATTAATATACCATGATGATAATAAATGTTAAATCTATGCGGTGTCGGAACTAAAATACTTGTGTTATACGTAAGATGTATGAGATAAGACGTTATAATTAGGAATGTTGTATATTATTATTCATTGTATTTTCCTACACTTTTCAATTTTCGTTTTATGACTTATAAAAAACATATTATTGTACACAATTATAACTGTTATTATGCAAAAAATAAGTTTAATCTTTAACTCGTTACGATAAACACTATGTAATTAGAGACAATTTAAAGAATTCAAACCATTGATAAAATTATTTTATTATACCTATTTATAGGCGATTCTCACATTTCGAGGAACTTACAATGTCAAAATGTTATAATTATTTCACGCGTAGAATAAATATAATTATTAGATGAATAAATGTTAATGATATTTTCATTGCTACTAGTTTTCAATATGATATAACCTATGGGAGTTGAGAACTAAGGACCGATCATTGAAGATCTTTGTATTGAATATGGCAAATCTGTGCATGTCAGTCCCATATAAGATATTTCTATAAAAACGTCAATTTTTTCGAATTTCCCTGAATTAAGGAAAATTGTATTTATATTTAATCGAAAAATGACTTTAATATTACCGTATTTAATATAATATATGTGTATGATGAAAATAAAAATCACTTTCATTAAATAATAATTATTTTGATTCTTGATTGTAGATCGATCTCATGGGCCAATCACTCTTTAATATTGCCAATCCCAAAGATCACGATGAGCTTAAAAAAAACCTGAAGTATCAATACGAAACCTCAAACGACACCAGTATCAGTAAGTTTATTAATTTATTATTCATTTTTTGAATTTACGCAACGTGCAGTTTTTAGGTATGCTAATAAATTGTAAATGTATAATTTAATCAGCATAATGTGTATTGATACTATTGCATTATAATAATATATAAGTAGTATCTATATAAGGGTATTTTTCTTTAACCACAACTACCGCTTATTTTGTGTTCTCGACAAGTTTTTTTTTTTTTTTTTAATTTCTAATATTATTGAAACTTGAAAACCTGTTTAATATTTATTATAAACATAGACTTAATAATATTATATTATGTCTATGGTTATAACTTATAAGTTATAACTAACAATAGTTAAGCAATAAATGTATTTATGAGTAAAACGAGAATTTTTTATGAAGACTTTCAGATCGGAGTGCTTTATTGAATGAAAATCCTTAACTTTTATATTAATGGAATATAAAATACTAAACATATGTAATAGAAGTCGCTATTATAAAAAATAATTATTATTATTATTCCGGTGGTATATATTAAATCTCAACAATGAAAAAATATTATTTGTGATGGTATTCAATTTAAAAGGTACTTTACTAAATTATGTTCAAGCAGACTATAACCACATTATTTAAACAGGGGTTTGCATTTAAAAAAATTTACCTAAATTCATATTGGGTTTTCAAATTTAAATTGGGTGTTTTGAAAGCATCCAAAAATATTTTGGATGTATTTAAAAAGTACTAACTTTTAATTTTACTGTTTGTGCTGTATTTTATACCAAATAGAAAATATGAACAATAATTAACGTATTGCAGGATATTGAGTGATTCGAGTGTAGATACTAGACTTACATCATATATGTTAAGTGTTATACTATGAAATTTCAATATAATTTATTATATTTATTTATTGGGTAATAAAAAAAAATTCGTTTTATTGTTTTATAAAGAAATTTGTTTAATAGAATTACACATTTTTTATTTAAAAGAAATAATTATGGAGTTTTGTATTTTTTATAAATTGTACTTTTTTGTAAAAATGTTCATAAATTTAAAAAAAATTCTCCGGAGATATTTTCTAACTGCCTAGAACCATTTTTTCACAAAACAAAATGTGTTTAATTTCTCATTTTCAGTATATTATGGATAGTTTTTCTGCGTGTTCCTCTTTATCTTCTTCATTCTTACTAAAATTTTCTTTTTTTTTAACCTCTTCAAGAATATTTTTGTTTATTGAGTTGATTGGAGATTCATGAATAGCAATATCTTCATAAATTTTCTAATAATCTTGTAAAGTAACATCATCACAGTGAACTAACTCATTCTCGCTGTACATCTGAAACTTCTACATAAGTCTCAATTATTTCATTTTTAAATCTAACTTTGAAGGTTCTTATACGTTTATATCAATATCAAAACTGATATTCTGCTGTAAAATTAACTAGCTTGCTACCTCGGTATTTTTTTATGGATACAATAAAATTGTAAGCATTTAGTTAATTTTAGAACCATATTTAATAATTAACAGTAATAATACTTAAAGAAAAAAAAATGGTTTGAAATCAAATAATTTATTTGTTTTATAGAAAATCAGATTTGTTATTTAGAGATGATTTACTTATAATTAATAATGAAGATCATAGTCCTTAAAAATATTTCATTAAACAGGAACTTTTGTTAAATGGAAATTTGTTGCATAGAAGTTTTACTGATCACTCGTATTTTATTTATTTTATCTAGCTATAAGAATTAAGTCTTATAATTTTTGTTAAAATTGAAAAATTAGTGTGATCTATGTGATTACACTTTCAATGAATCTTGGAATGTCTATAAATATTGCTGTACATTATTTCTTGTTCTAATTAAGTTATTAATAATCCTTATTAACATTTTGTTTTTTTTATTTTTTTAGTTTCAAGTAATGATCCTTTGTTAAATGTTAAACAAAATAGTAATGGAAATTATAAAATACAACGTCGATCATTTTATTTACGGTTGATTAAGAAAGTAGTTTCTCGTGATGAACAACCAGAGTTGGAGTTGGTACATGTAATGGGAACATTAATGATTCAAAATTCTGGAACAAAAAGTAATGTTGTAGTTTTATTAAAAATAAAATAACATTTAATTCAACTTAAAAAATTGTATATATTTATAGATAATGAGATTAGTGAAAACGATGTGGTGTTGAATGCTGTTGTCAGACCATTCAATGAACGGCGTGTGACTGAAGTATCAATGTTAGAAGCAACCCGTGAAGAATATATAACCAGACATCAAATTGATGGTCGTATAATATATGTTGATCATAGGTAACCATTTATTTTAATTATTAGTGTTTATTTAGTGAGTAGAAAAAAATAAATAACTAGGTATTATTGAATTCCATCAATATTACTTTTATTAACATGCCTATTTAATAATAAATAATTTCACTCAGTATCAAATAGTAATAAATTATTATATTTATAATGTATATTATGGATTATATACTAATAATCATCTATAGTCTATATCAGAAAACTCAAAAATATAGCACGCTCTGTTCACATCAAGTTTAATAACAAGTGTTTATTGACTCATTGACTATAGAAAATAATATTCATATTATCTTGGTTTATTTTTATGAAGACATATTATAATATTATAATACATGACGTATATTATACATATCATAGTTGTATATTCAAAATTTCAGTGCATTTCTTATGTTTTTAGAAAATACAGTGCACTAAATTTAAATTACTCTTTCACAATAATAGTGTGTTGTAACAGTAATTAAAAGTTTGCAATTATAATCTAACTTGAACATTTCTTAATTAATAAACTTTAGTTATCATTAATTCACCATTTTTAAACATACAAAATTATATTATCATCAATTTTGAATTTAGATAAATCATAAAAATTATAAATTATAATAATTTTAATTTTAATACAGTAAAATACAGTAATAGTTTTCTAAAATTATATTGTTTATAATTAAAAAAAAAATAGTTGTAGACTGGAATAAACATGGTAAGACATTTTGTTTAATATATTGGAGTTATATTGTAATTTTTTATTTAATTTAAAATAAAAAAAAAGACTTGGTAAAAAAGAATTTATATTCTTCAATAAGACTACAAAATTTTTGTATTTTTTAACATGCATTTACACCCTTTTTTTTCCTATTTGAATCGACGATGCCTGGGAACTGCTTACGCATTACTTCCACGAACATGCATTTATACCCTATCTCATATAAAAGTAACCCTAGACATATTTTCGTGTGTAGCGGAGCCTGACAAGTTCTTCCAAATTTTACTCCAGAGGCATTTCACCCCTTTATTAACCGCGAGGTTACCTCTTCTGAGCGAAAGACCAGGGTGAGCTCCTGAGAGCCAGGCACCCCGATAGCCTGCCCTGGATGCACCTCACCTTAGGCGTCATAATGAGCCACTAGTAATCCTGGACAGTAAGCTTTTGTGTATAAATTTTGTCACTATATGGGCTAATGTATGCCGAATGTTTGCTAAAATTTATACAACAAAAATGACAAATCCCAATTTATTAGTAAATATGGTGTGATCAAACCAGACAAAAATCAATCTCTGCCTATACCTTATATGAGACAGAATATACATATTATTTTTCTATGAATTTTTAAAATAATACTCATTAAATCTAACTATATAAAATATATTTTTAGAATTTCTATTGTATCTGGATTCATGCCTCAAGAAGTATCTGGACAACTGGCATTCAAATATATGCATAGAGATGATGTGCGTTGGGTGATGATTGCTTTAAGACAAAGTATTTATTTTAATTTTAATATATAAAATGTGTGTAATGCTTATAATAATGTTATGCTTTATTAGTGTATTTTAAGGGTCAAAGTTTTGGAAGTAGTTGCTATAGATTGTTGTCAAAAAATGGAGAATTTGTGTATATGAGGACACATGGTTTCTTACAATTGAATCCAAATGAAGATACAATTGAATCGTTCATATGTGTTAATACTTTAGTGCCCCCAGAACAAGGGAAAAGAGAAATAATCGAAATGAAAAAACGGTTTACACCATTAATAGTTGCTGCATCTGAACCTGGAATAGCTGCAATAACTAATAATCAGTTTGTAAGTGTACTATTATTGTTATATCATGAGTCAATTGTTTATTAAATTTTATTATAGATGGAAAAAGAATCTACTGTGACATTGGAAGATGTTACTGAAGATCTGAAAACACTTGATAAAGTAGTCGAACAAATGATTCAAAATATTCCTGAACCAGCGATGGACAATTTTAAAGTTACTGCAAAGAATCCTGGACCTTTGCCAGATAACCAGGAGTATATGAGGGTTGCACTTTTGTCCAAGTCAATACCACCAGTTTCAGTAGCATCTAATGCACCAAAAATTTATAAACGATCGTCTCTATCCCCTCAGCCTAATTTTAAACCAGTAACTCAGGATCGACCATCTGTACTTCGAGTGGCACCACCAATTTCTCGACAACCTGTATTAGTTTACAATCATCAAACTTATGATAAAACTACAGAGAAAGACCGAGCTTACTTAGAGCGTAGAGGTGGCATATTTGTCTTACCCAAAAGACAAAACGATTCTCAAGTCATATTAGATAACTTGCCAAAAAAAGCAAAAATAGTTTTAGAGACACAAGTTGAATCACCTGCCTGTAACAATTACAGCAATCAAGCAGATTCACTGTCTGATAATCAGCTAAACACAAATAGTTGTATTGACAATTTTTCTAATTTCCAAGGTACTTCAATCCAACTAATTTCACACAACATAGATGAACACGATATTGGTAATGATTATTTTCAAATACTTAATAGTTAAACTTTTAAATATATATCATTATTCAAGTATAATTTGTTATCCTAGCACAAATCATTGAAATAAATTAAAATATATTTCTTGTTTTCTTCAGATCCTTTAGCTGATGTGACAGATATTGATGATTTTCCAGTAAGTTTTCTCAAATAATTTTAATTAAACCATTTAGTTTTGATATTAACTTAACACCAAAGTAAAACTATTATTTCATTAATTAATTAAGTTCAAATTAAATATTAATAAAGAATATCTTTATAATTTTTTTTTTTTATTTTTTAGTTTATTCTTACAGTAAAAACTAATAATATTAATTTAAATCAATTATTTACCCGATATAGCATATATATATATTTTTTTTTTTACCTTTTACAATTAATTTAAATTAATTAATAAAAAATTTTAATAAAACAGTTTCATTTATACATTGTTTTATACTTAGCCAATTATCAGATGTGGTTGAAACTGAACTTATAGTTTTAAATAACGTTATTTAAATTAATAATAATTGATACTAATAGTTCATTGAATATAGAATAAAAAATAAATAAATTATCCTAGTTCAATGCATATTTTGTCAAATAATTTTAATACTATTTTAGGTTTTGTTAACAATATTATTGTTAAATTGTATCCTTATATTATTTTTGTATATTATATTAAATGTATTCTTTAAGTTTTGCATAATTATATTGCATGTTTTAGAAAACGATAAGCGATAATGACTTGTTCATGGGACCAGATAGTTATGATTCATATGTTAATGGTACTATAATGTTTAATTAAAAATATATTATGCAATATTTAAAATTTAAAATGTTTGATTGCAGATGTTTATGATGAAGTAAATTCAATAGATATCAATGAAGATCCTGTATGTTTTATTTAATATTGTTATTTAATATGTATAATAAACTCAACTCTAAAACATAATATTAATCTATGTTTTAGTTAATTCAAAGTCTACAATACAACAGAAGTTTAGAAAGTGCATTACTCGAGAAAAAACAGAACACACTTAAGACGAAAATGGATCAACAACAAGGTCATCTGAAAGAAATTCAGACTGAAATAAATTCGCTTTCTTCAAATGCTAACACTCATTTCCTAGCTACAGATTTTTCTCACTTAAAGGTATATTATAGTTTATTATTGTTTATCTAGATTCGTTGATAATAATTAATACTATGTATTTAAATGTTTATTTAGGCTGAACATGAGCACCAACAACAAGTGTTGCGTGAGCTACAAGGAGTCCACCAAAATATTGGAGTTTGACTATTAATACCATATTATCTGATCTAATATTTCACTTGGTAGGTTGAGTGAATATCTAATTTCATAAACTTAGATAATCTATTAATTTCTGTAGTAGCTCGTGTGATTCACAATAGGCTAATCACAAATAGTTTATCCCATTATCACAATTGTAATGATAAAATAATGTTTATTATTCTGACACAGTTTTTTTTGTGTCCTGCATCACCTTATAATTTGTGTTAACAGTTCAAAACAATATTTTGTAGCTTATCAGAGTAAAGTGAACTTTGTTTATCATGCCAGTAGTCTTATTTCTATATCTCTAAAAAAATAAAGTATAATAATTATAATCTATGATTTTTCCATACCTATTTGATAGATATGTATTTCAAATTTGAATTATTTATAAATAATTTAATTTCTATTTCATTTTTAGTAGGATATGTGCCCCTTGTCATGAGTTGCCTTTGATGAAACATTATGTATAGCTAGCTAACATTTCCATTCAGTTAAAAATTAAGAGTATCTCTATAGTTTAATTTTTTAATTTTTTATTATATTCCCTTAACTATTGAAATTCAAGCAAGAGTAAAAGTTTAAATTATATTTACTTATTTAAAAAAATATAAATTTTAAATTATTTTAACTTGACAAATTCTTAATTTTTAATTGAATTCACAATGATTAACAATAATAAAAGCTTGAAAGTTGTATCACTAAAAATGTTACATTTTAGTTCTTGAATATACACTTCAAAACTCCAAAATATACGCTATAAATAGCTCAAAAAATAATTCAAATATTTTTGAGAATGTAACCAAGTAAATCATTATTTTCAACAAAATGTGAATATTTCATATATTATGTGAAAATATTGCCCAAAATAGCAATAAAAACCATAAATATGCAAAAAAAAGCAACATAAAATTTCGTGTATGACATCAAAGAAGTGTGAAACATATTTATATTTTATTTTGGATGTTCTAGGACAAACCAAGAAAAATATGCATTTGCTACAACTTTCAAGCTCTGATAATAATGTATAATGTTATGTAAATATTTTAAATGTTTTCCTGTTGGTTTTTTTCAGTTGGCATGATATATTTCCATCCTTATGATATTGGTTTCTTGAGAAATGCTGATTAAGTATAGAATGTCATAACCAAATTAAAAATGTAAATTGTAAACTACTTGTTAATTTGTATTTATATATATATTTTCTTTTAACTTAAATTTATTTAGTGTCATTTTTCTTATTTCCTAAGTTATCTATTTGTTATAGTTATAGTTATTATTACTATTATTTTTATTATCATTATTATTATTATTATTATTATTATTATTATTATTATTATTGTTACCTAGTATTTGTTTAATGCTACTATAAAGTAGATACAAAGACTCCCTGAGTTTCTTTACCTTTTGTTGTTTTGTTTTACATTCTTTTATATGGCAGATGCTCAAAAAATTTAATAGTGACTGACTCGTGTTCATTACTATACATTTTTATTTATTTATTTATTTTTTTTTTTTTTTTGTAATATTTTAATAAAGTTATCAACAAATTCAAACATATATTTTTATAGCATTACAAGTACAATTTTATTCAATGTATCATTGAATCAGGTGGTCAAACTATTAACAATTTTTTTAATAAATTTTTTTGTCAGTGCCATGAGTTTTCCCAATGTCAACATGAAATGATCTTTAAATTATATGTTACCACAATATTATCCTTTCCATTTATAATTTTAAATTATATTATACTGTGTTTACTATATTAGATTTGTAACAAGTTAGTTATAAATGTAATAAACTATTTTGTATTTTTTAAAATATGATAGTGTATAGTATGTGTGTGTGTGTGTGTGTGTGTGTGTATGTATGTGTGTGTATTTCTATACTATGTACGAGTGTTCTATAATTTATAATTTGCCCTTATTATATTTAACATTTTAATACAAAATGAATTAAAAATTTATGTCCAATGATTTTTATATAATATATATATATATATGCATATACATATACATATTATATTTTATTTTTAATTATTATTTTAATATAACTATTATTATTTTTATTTTTTCTATGTGAAGACTGAAAAGCAAAACATTAAATGTTATAAATTATAATATTAGTTAAATGTGTGTCAAAACATAAGTTTAAAATTACATTGTTTTCTATATCGCTTCTATTAATTTGTATGTGTCACGATATTATATAATATCAAATACATTCTTTACATATTCATATATTATACACAATTATAAATTGTATTCGTTTATGTCCTTTACCAAAACTACTATTTATGTTCAAAATCATTAATACACGACAAAATACCAAGTAAAACCAAACAAATAATTAACTTCTCAACCATAAGCTTATCTTTAAGTACTTTTAGTACATAATATACATGTGCATGTATTAAGAACTTTTAATCATCAAAACCACATATACAGTTTTTTTCGATAAATTAATCTACAATCTAAACAAATAAAATAAAAATTTCCTTTTATTCTAAATATAATTTCTTTGTGTGAAAGTAATATATTTTGCCAATAACAAACAAAATCATTTCAGAATATAATTACTTAAAATTTAAGCTACAAAAATGTAATACTAATTGTTTTAGTGATTCTTGCATAATCATTAATTTGTGGTTCTTGACCAACTTCAATATCCCAATGAATATGTGAGGTATCGAACATAGTTAGGTATACATTTCAAACTAGATATTTCCATGACTCTTTCTCTTTCGGGCTAATCATTGATAAAATGTATTTCTCTTAAAGCCTAACATTATTTTAGCTGTGATCATTAAATTTTAGTAATGGTATGTTATTATTACTTATTAGTTATATTTTGAAAGGAGATTCAGATCTTACACAATATAGATTAATATGTTAACACATTTTATTCATAATATTTTTTATCCCTAATTTAAATAAATTAGTAATTAGTTAACACTTCCCAACAATACTATTCTTGGTAAGTATTTAATAGAGGCTGCATTGCAATGCAATTTGAATTTTTTCTGGGGGGGGGGGGAGTTAAACCAATGCTTGATTCTACTGATTCTAGAACAATGCGTTCTAAGTATATAATTTAATTAGTGTAACACACCTTCAAAAGTGAAGCTTTTATTTTGTACTATTTGATTTTTTCTATTTTCAGAACAATATTTTATCATTTTTAGGTAATTTTACTATTTTTAAGTGTTTATTTCTGAGCGCCTCGTGTCTGAATCTCAAGAAATGTAAAATTAAGTAATTTAAAATACTATTTCAAACATTTTTTAATGCTCACAATAATTGTACAGGTAGAAAATATTTAAACCTAGAATTAGTATAACTAAACATATAATTATTCTTAGTTGTATATTTTTTGTATGTCTAAAATATTATATTGAATAAAACAGCCCTAAGATGGTGTAACTTCGTCAAAAAAATCATCGCTAATAAATCATTTCAATTTTTTTAATAGAATTATTTTATTGATTCTATTCAAAATTTAATTTGACTTATGCCGTTAACTTGGGTGAGATACGATGACATACACTTATCGTTTTACTATTGTTTCTATTGAATGTCTTTCATTAACGACTCTAATACTTAATGAAATTAATATTCCAGCTCAGTTCATTCTTAAAAGGTTTCAAGAAAAGTTAAACACAATTTATGGTCTTATGGTCTGGAACATTTTTATTACATGCAAACTAACATAATATAGTTTATAATAATAATACACTGATGATGTCCGTATAATAGCTGTTCACCCTTTCCGTGTACAACCATCTTACGCTCCAGCTGAACTCTATGACAGCAGCTGAACGTCACACAAACTGACCGCGGCCAAGTTATATAATAAAATACTACATCATCTCAATGAATGAGTCAAATCAATGAAAAAATAAATCATTTCCATACTTGCCTAAAAACTATCATTTGCCTAAACTAATCAACGCCATTAAATTGCCTATCCAAAACGCCGTCTCAGTAAGTTAAACTTTAATAATAATATATTATTATGCATGTTAAATGATTACATTACTATTATTGACATTGTGTCTTAAGATTCCGTAGAGAGTTTCATTTAAGAGAAGCCTCTCAAAATATAATTCTCGTGGTGAACCTAACGTTAGGTCTTTTGTTCACAAAGAGCTTAGTCTCACCCACCCAATATTAGTCGAATAACTGAAATTTTTACAATAATTCAAGTATTCAGTGTTTACAATGTAGTGTATAGTATAATATAGTGTTGTTAAAACATAATGTAAAAAAATTCAATATTTTCATTTCTAAAATTTTAATTTTTACTAAGGCATCTATGGATAAAAATACTTAATTTTTGCCACTCAATATTATTTAGTATTTGAGGAGAGTCTTGCAAATTCTGAAATTAAACTTTATTTCTCAAAAGTAGTGTCTTTTTTTAACAAAAAAATGTTTAGAATCGATATAGGACCTGAGAAACCAATTGTTGACTGTTTCCGATGCACTTTTCATTTTACGTCGTTTTATAGAAAAATATTGTCTAAGCTATTTAAAAACTAAGCTTGCGTATTTCACGGACATGGTGTACATTATATTTATATGAAATAAAAATTCAAAAATTTTAGTTTTTACTAGAATGAGGCTGAAAATACGTATTTCTAGCCACTCCGTATGATTTAGATTTGGAGGAAAGTGGAGGTATTATAATATATAACTAGTGTCTAGTATATAAAAAAAAACTCAAATATAAGGGATATCTAAAAAAAAAAAATGACAATGTTTGGGATATGATTCTTAGGTTACTCCTTCCACACAACACTGTAAACACGTACTTCATCTGGAACTTGTTTCGAAAATATTGGGCTATAGATTTATTTTAATTATCTACTTACAGGTTATTGGTTTGGTGGTTAGTACATTCAATGCATTCAAATTATAAATTCAATCGTCTACTTCAAACACTAAATCAGTAATCTAACTACTAATAGTCGATAGTATTTGTGTAATCGCCTTGTAAAATGTTTTTCTTTTGAAATGCATCTTATAGTTTCAGGCCATGACGTGTAATCGTGAGCAAAAACGTTCTAGCTTACCTACAACAGAATTTTAACTATGTGAAAATAGCAAGCGTACCTTACGTGATTTAAAGATATTAGACGTCATTAGTCAAATATCTGTAGTTACATACTTACTCATACATTGTGGTACCTACACTATTCTTTCCATTAAGAGATTAAGAAACAACATAAGCAATAGCTGGTATTGTGGTATATGTATGGCATGTATATATTATTATACTATATTATGATAAATGTATATATTTCAACGGAATATGTGGGTATCTATGCGATTTAACAGCGGTCGCAATTCAATGTTGGAATATATTTTTTACAATATAGCAAAGATGATACTATAGAAGACAAAATATTAAACATCACGCACACAGGTATCGTAATACGCCCGCCGTGTTTACATAATAAAAATCCTTGATGGTGGTGTATAGCACATAATACTATAGTCCTATGTTATTCATTTATACAATAATGATACATAACACTGTTCAGTTGTTTCAGTGTCGGGTGCGCGGACACGTTACAATCTGTATTTTTACGTCATCGATGTGCACATACCTAGTCAACAAAATATTATTTAGCGAATATTCTAACATCATACACTTATCTCTATGTACTAGAAATATTTATTTTTCCTCCAACATCATATTATCTATGTATTACACGTACCTATGATACGTACGTTGCGTTTCCCATGTTGATTTCAGTATGTGTTTATAACAGTTTATATTCAAAGTGGTCCAGATAAAGTTCTTTAACTTTCCTTTATTGTTAAATTTAAATTATTTAAAAATAATGAATGTTGACACGCATTGTTGTTTAAAAGAAATGACCGACTATGATTTTTAAATAAATTGGTTTGCTATAATAATAGATACAAAAATATTATGGTAAATAATGAATATGAGTTATTATTAATTTGGTATACCTATTCAAATAAATTTGCAGTTAGTTATTATAAGAAATTTAAACTTGGTAAATTTATAAGTCATTAATTATTAAACTTTCCTAAAATAGTATGTGTTATTTTTTCTATTTATAAAATATCTAACTGCAGCATTCAAAATTGAATTATTTTTTTTTTTAATAATAGCATTACTGAATAACCAGATTCTCAATTTTTCCCTTTGAATTTATTTTGTGCAAAATTTATTTTGAAAAACTAATTT